TGGTCAGTGGAAGATGTCATGATCCCATTTCTAACCTTAAGTCTCGGGCGGGACCCGAAACGAAATGTGTACACACCAGAAATCAAGGGAAATAAAATAATAATAATAATAATAATAACTGTGCTAATAAAATCAGCATGTCCCATTCTCGCCTCTCACTTTCACTCTATTACGCAGCCCTTCGATAGCTTTCGAGTAAAATACTGCATGGTTTGACGTAAAAATAACATTTCGATGACATCTTGATTTTCATTAGAGAAAGTTTTCTCCCATCAGAACGTTTTGCGGTAAGAATCGTTTGGTGCAAGGCCAGTTGGATATTGCAGGTCGGGTGGAACAAAACAAACGACTTTCATTTTTTTTCTTTCTGTTATTCTGGCTGAATGCGGTCTTTTGAGAAAAGCGGTAATAAAGAGCAACGAGGTTGACACTCGCCCGCACGTGTATAAATGTGAGAACGGAACGTAAGACTGGGCGTGGAGGGTTTAGACAGCGAAACCTCTTCGATCTCTTTACATCCGGACAAAGAGGAACCTAGACATGGCTGTTACAGTTTTTTGTGTATATTTATACATAACTAGTGAGCGAGTCAAAATGACTTAATTCCCTTTATAGTCTACCAATAGAAGATTAACCAATCAGAACATTGTATCCGTCGTGCATAAAGGCGGCCATCTTTGTTTACCCTACCGGAATGACCAGAGCCAACATGTCAGGCGAACATGACAGACGGAAGAACTACGCTCTGCTACTTTGCTGCAATATCCACTGCAGACCTGAACTACGCTTTCCTACTATCTCCGAAATATTCACTGCCAACCTCTGGATCCTATACTCGAGGACGACTGTCATGAATTTGTATACCGAAGGGCAGTCTCTCGTCTTGGTAGGTAGACCAACCCGACCCCGCTATTAAGGGGTTTACGGGGAATTTTTGCCAGAGCCTAAGAGATTGGAAATACCTACTTTAAAAACTGGCCTTGTCCCACATCTCTCTTTATGGGGAGGAATTGGGTAAATACCGAGTCAGCTAAAGCTCCGGATTTGGCAGTCTCAGCTTGTCACCCTCTACCTTTAGGCATGGAGGAACCCACAGTAGGCTATGCAAAAGTCACGTTTGCAGAGATAGACAGCTACCCGACCACGTGTATATTTTTGCCTGAGCCTACGGGCTCGGAATTGTCCCACGTTAACAATGGCCTTGTTCCACATCCCGCCTTATGGGGACCTCTTGGGTAAATACCAAAACAGAAAAAGCTGTACTTAGCGGTCGTTTGAGTAAATAGTGTCATTTCTGGAGCTGGATTTACTCTAAGAGTGGCTGAAGTCAACTAATTAATTAAGCATATATAAATGTGCAGATTTGTTTCATTGCGCATTAAGGACGTTGGTGGTAATGGCTCTGCAAATAAAAAGCGAAGAGCGTCTCAGTTTCCTGCGCATTCTCGTCGGCTTTACATAGTTGCTTACCGAAAACTACTCTAAAAATGAAAAAATTATGTTGACGCAGGTATCGAGAATTCAAACAGGTGGAAAAATTTACGGTGCTTTAGCAGAGTAGTAATGGCTAATGCATCATTATTGTCTCAAGTACTTAGACACTGTCTAGTGAACTTGAAAATTAAAAAGGCATCGTATGATAAAGTGAAATTCTTAATAATTGTGACGTCCCTCTACAGCCTTCGCTCGCTCCTCGCTGCTCCATCCGGGTGTCGCCGCTCCAAACGTGACGTCCACCTGTCTGCGTCAGTCGTGTTGTCCCGTCCTGTGACGATCAACTGGCTTGGTATCGGTCGCGGCAACCAAATGTGACGTTCTAACCTTTTGGTGATTCGGATGGGAATCTGGTTAGATTCGATATCAGCCTCGTCGTTCCCAACTCGCTTCCAACGTCTGGTTACCAAAGTAACTGCGTTGATCTCCAGTCCGCCTACCCACGTTGTGAATTGATCTTAGGCAGACGAAATCAATCAGTCGTTGGGGCCGTAACGCAAGTTGAGTTCAAATGAGGGTGGTATCGCACAAATATGTGTAAAAGAAAATAAAATAATAACTCAAAAGTTTAAGGTATCAAAAAAAGGATAATAATACTTTATATCTGGTTGCTGGATACATAGGACTGCGTCTATCTCCCGACCCGCTATATGGATTGTGACACGTTGTTTTTGTTAGGTGAGTTTTAACATCTTAAGTTGTCTGTTCTTTAAGAAATTGGTTCTTGGTGTGTCCTCAGGCGATAGCCGTAAAACTTATTTTGGTGGTATGGATCTAAGCCGCTCTTCAAAAATAAATTGTTCTTGGATTGAAGATGAGTTCGGAAGTTGCGCGAATCTTAGTCAGCTGATGCGAATTTCAACTGCAAACTGGAAACTCTGGAAAACCTGAGACCGAACTGATTTTCGCTCGCTGCGACTTTGCTTATATGGACGCCGACGAAAACCGGGGTGGGCTTTGTCGGGGTTTGAGGTTCCTTGATAATTCTAAATCCATATCCACTTCTTTTATTTTCGGTCAGGAATTTTCCACTCCTTTCCATTTTTGGAAGTCTTCTCTTACCCCCACCTTCTCTTATTCTCATATGGATATCTCACCATACTTCAGAGGGGCGTCAACGGTTCTCCCCACTTCTTCGTAGCAACTTCTCATACCCATCCTCTAAATGGGCGGCGGTGGGCTCCCCCCTTGCGTCACATGATCACCTCCGCCTGGCCCCCGTTGACATTCGGCCAATGGCGTCCAACCGGGTGGGTGTGATCCGGCTAGCTTTGTTTTAAGAAAAAAATATATCTTGCTCAAAAAAAAATTATCTTTTTCTTTTCCTTTTCTTTCCTTAATCGCCAATGTCACCTGGGATCTATCAATGCCAATTATCAAGTGGTTAGTCGTCTAGCGAAACACAGCCAATTTCCGTCCCGAAAAAAAAACAGTTTCATTGTCCTAGCCGTATTTGCATTCTTGGAGCCAATTTCTGATAACATAGCTTTATTATCATAACCGAATTCTAACACCCATAGATGTTTTGTCAAAACGGCAAAGATGTAAGCCAGGGTTGGCTTCGTGTGCGGTTAACAGATGACCTATTAAATTCTTTTCCCGACAATATTGTTTGCCACCCTGACACAGTTAATTTTTCTTATCTATCCAAAGCTCTGTATTCACCTGGCCCTTGTCAGGCAGTCCTACGACACTGGCCGTCAGAATTTTCACCATGTTTTTCCATTATCAAAATAACATTGTCAAATGTCCCGGAGTTTAGCCAGCTGGTCTTGAATTTCTCAATTAGATTTTCGCCAGCACTAAGTGGCTGTTATCTATTCCCGACAATATTGTTTGCCATCCTGACACAGTTAACTTATCTATCCCAAGCTCTGTATTCACCTGGCCCTTGTCAGGCAGTCCTACGACACTGGCCGTCAGAATTTTCACCATGTTTTTCCATTATCAAAATAACATTGTCAATGTCCCGGTCGTGGGTGGTTTCCTTTATCATCTAAGCTTAAGTCTCGCCTCTCTTTTCCTTTCTTTCCTTTCTCTTTTTCCTTTTTTTTTTTCTTCCTTTTCTTTGCTTCCAAAATGGTGTCACATAATGAAGAACCTCTGCTAATCATCTTTTCTTAGCTAAGTTACTGCTTTCGCTATTTTGAATTAAACAGTCTCATGTATATTATTATTTGTATTTACTTGACCCCCCACATGGTCAGGTTGTGACACAAGGTCGGTTTAATGTGGGGAGCCCGAGCGCGTACACCCGGGCAAGGAACAAAAATTCCCCGAGCCCCCGCAACCGTCGGTTGCGTTGGCCTTGGTGCATGCACCGATCCTTCTGTCTAGTGCAATGAGAAAGCGAGGCCTCGGGCAGCTGTTCCCCAGGGCCAGGAACCTCTCAGTATAATTTTCCTTAGTTGCGACTCTGTCCTTTGACGGAGCCACCCCTGAGCGTACTCTGCCCAAAGACAGAGACGCAACTGAGAGATGATAAATAGGGTGTTACAAACTACTCGAGAGAGCAATTTACACACTCTGTATACACATGTATGTTGTTATTTATATACATCAATCTATTGCCGCTGATCATGACTAGAATTCTCTTTTAACGACACGTCAAGAATAGGCCAACGAATGCAATAAAGATGCAACAGGATAAAGTGAATAAGAAAAAACGTTTGCGAAAAATACAAAGAGATTTTTTTAAGTCGAAAGAGAGAAATAATAAGATGAAAAAGAAGAGCAAAAATAGAATGTAATGTTTAAAACCAGGGAAATTTTGAAATCGTAGGCGTAGGATTAGAGAAACAGCAGCCATGCTGGCATGAACTCACCTATTTTTATTCGATCAAAATCATTTCACTTGCAAGAAAGTAATCGACAATAAAGAATAAAAATGGTCCCTTTCACTTTTCGATTGTTCTATGCTTATTTTTCAGGCCTATTTATTAAAAAAAAGAAAAAGCAATTAATTTATTACAAACATGTGAAATGTGAAATCATTGATGGGATTAAAAAAATGGCTGACATAAGAAAGGGGAGATAACCTATATTAGATTTTTAATTTATTTTTGCCCGGACTAAATATGATTGAAATATTTTCAACTGTTTTTACTTTTCTTTCGTTATTTTCTTTGAAAAATATTTTTGCTTATTTATGGTGACTTATTTTTCTTTCAATTTAAAGATTGTTCAATTTTCTTTATTGATATTATTTCATTTAAAAAAAAATCTAATTCCGCGGCTACCTTGAACTGTCAATGGCACAAGCAGAAGAAGCACGCATCGGTCTTAGTACGATCTTTGCAATTACATAAAAATGACTTCAGATAAAAATTAAATGGTAAAAATCCTCTTCATTCCTCAAGGTATTTTTTTTTAATTTTTACTTTTTATTTATTTAATCTTTATTCTTATTCATATTTCCCAAAAATTTCTCTCGTTCTCTCTCCTGTCCCCACTTTTTATTTAATGAAGAAAAGTATATATTCTCTTCAAAACATTAAACCATCCGCATGCTACTAGATCAATCAGATGTAACTGTTTGGCCTCTCTCTCTCTCTCTCTCTCTCTCTCTCTCTCTTCTCTCTCTCTTCCTATTATTCTTTCTTTCTTTCTTTCTTTCTTCCCCCTCTTTCTCTTTATCTTCTTATTTCTCTTTCTTTCTCTCTCTCTCTATCTCTTTCCATTTCTCTTTCTTTTCCTCTCTCTGTGTTCCTATTTATTTTTCTTTCTTTCTCTCTCTCTGCTTCTGTTTCTCTTTATTTACTTATTTATTTCTCTTTCTATTTCTCTTTCTTTCTTTCTTTCTCTCACTTTTTGTATTTCTCTTTCTCTTTCTTTCTCTCTTTCTTTCTTTCTTTCTTTCTCTCTCTCTTTCTTTCTCCCCTCTTTCTATTTCTTTTTCTATTTCTTTCTCTTTCTCTTTCTTAGTTTTTCTCTCTTTTTCTGTTTGTCTTTCTTTCTCTTTTTCTTTCTTTCTTTGTTTCTTTCTTTCTCTCATTCTCTCTTTCTATTTCTCTCTTTCTCTTTCCATTTCTCTTTCTCATTCTTTCTCTCTTTATCTTTCTATTTGTCTTTCTTTCTTTCTCTCTCTCTCTGTTTCTATTCCTCTTTCTTTCTTTCTTTCTTTTTCTCTCTTTCTATTTCTCTTTCTTTCTTTCTCTCTTTATCTTTCTTTTTCTCTTTCTTTCTCCGTCTCTTTCTCTTCCTATTTCTCTTTCTTTCTCTCTCTTTCTCTTTCTATTTCTTTTTCTCTCTCTCTCTCTTTCTCTCTCTCTCTTTCTATTTCTTTCTTTCTTTCTTTCTTTCTTTCTTTCTTTCTTTCTTTCTTCCCACCTTCGATTTCTTCCTCGGACATTAGGATGTATGAAAATAATTTCGTAATTTACTGATCTTATCCGAAAGAGTATTTTATGTTTACTTCTAAAGATGTTCTACAGGGATGTGATGAAAAATTTATTTGCTCGACCCATTATATGACGTAACTTTTTTTTTTACTATTAATATAACTACGGTGTATGGATTAGTTATGTCACATGTACTATACGAGATAAGTGAATTAAACATAAGAGCCGTGTCTCAAAAGTAACTGAACTGGTGTCATAAACAATTTATTTCAATTCCAAACAGCAAAATACATGGTTTCCCCTCCAAGGGAATCCCTCTCAAGTCTAACACACTTTTCCAGCCTTCTCTCCGACGGTTCTATCCACTCCTGGAAAGATTCTACTTGGATGACCCTCAAGTCCTACGTTACAGCCATCTTGATTATATCCATGCCTACAAAACGGGTCCTCTTGATGATCTCTTGAGCTTGGGGAAAAGAAGACAGTCACAAGAAGCAATATCAGGTGAATAGGGAAGTTGTTCCTGTACAGCGATGTTCTTCTCGGTCAGGAACTGTCAGATGCTCAGGGCGTTGTGAGCAGGTGTATCAATCGGCGAACGAGGGCATTATGGGTAAATATGTTCAGTATCAGAGAGGGAACGATTTAAACGTTAAATTTAACTCCTTGATCAACACCATGCGTCAACAGTGTGTTTCATGCTTCAGTGCAATCTTCAGGCCATAGGGCGAAAAATGTTATAAACTTCAACCGACAGTAAGGCTGTTTTGGTCAATGAATCCGAAATATTTCCTGAATTTAAATAGCCTGACGATTGCGTTCAAGTCTGAAGCAGAAATCTGCCGCTTGGCGTTGACCTCTTTGTTCAATTATATATATATATATATATATATATATATATATGTGTGTGTGTGTGTGTGTGTGTGTGTGTGTGTGTGTGTGTATTTGTGCGTGTGTGTGTGTGTGTGTGTGTATGTGTGTGTGTGTACATTATAGGATAAAGTTTTGTGGCCACCCTATGAATTTAATTATTTGTAAGCCTTCTTTGGTTTAACTCCAACTAACCGCAACCCTACTAAACTATTTAACCCATTATTGCATGGTATGCAAATTTTTAAGAGAGGGTTACCTAAAATTTCAAATCTGCCAGCACTAAGATAATCATTTTCCAACAAATAGTAAAAAAAAGCTAAAAATTTTAAGAAAACTTTATGCAATAATGACTAAATTTTGTTGTTGCTGAATAAACAATAACACTCTTCCAGAATTAAAGTCCCTCCGGACCGATGTGTGCTAATAAATTAGTTTTGAAAAAGGTACACAACCTTCAATTTGCAGACATTTCTTCGAAATCCAGAAGCTAGCCTTTGGCCTGTATATCATTATCAGTAGTGTTTAGCAGTACATTATATTTCAGATGTTATAATGATAGATGCAATTTTCAGACTTCATTGTCAAATAATCTTCAAAGCGACTGAAGAAACTTTCAAAATTCTAGAAGGAAATTCTTACTGAAGAAAGTATAATTGGTTTTGACAGAGGTGATCTTGTCCATTTACATAAAAGCCAAACGTAGTTAATTGCTTCTCTTTTCGAATGACAATGGCCTTCTTGTGATCGATCATGGCTATTTTATTATCTGGGAATTGCTCTAACGTCTTAGGATTTGGAGTGTTATCTTGATGCCATCTCTATGATTTTTTTAATTCAAGAGCCACTCAAGGTAGAGGGTCGTTTTGGTGGAAGGGCGTACAAGGTAAGAGCAACAGGTGAATATTATCAAGATAGATAGGATAGAAAACGGCTGACCCTAAAGATTTATTCAACAACTAAAAGGGGAGGGGATATTAAAATACGAACATAAAGGTGGAATGACAAAATAAACGGGGAAATTCGTCTTAATTTAGTAACCAAGATTTTTTATGCCGACATATGTTAAGAATTTCGGTTTTGGAGTTTAATAGATGGTTAGGCTGATTATACTCAACCTAACCAGCTATTTAGTTTCTCTTTTGCCTCTTTAGCCAGCTTTCCCTGACAACCCGCTTAGGTGAAACCTGGGTAGGTCTGTCTGGTTCACTAGGTTTATCTAGGTCTGCTCTACGGTTGTATTGAGCTCTTTTGTTAGTTAGTTGTTTACTCGTGTCGGGTTTTTTTTTCTTTGGGCCTCAAACCTGTATCTGTGCGATTTTTTTCGACAGACTTTCATGTTTCTAGCTCTTTTCTTTTATTAAAACCTTTTTCCCTCGAGATTGATTTGATTATCGGCAAATCAAAAATTTGAAGGTTTTTCGAAACGAGTATAGTTAACTATATATATATATATATATATATATATATATATTAATTATATATATATATATATATATATATATATATATATATATATATAGGTTAACTATATATATATATATATATATATATATATATATATATATATATATATAAGTAAAAACCTAAAGAGCCAGACAAACCTATCTAGGTTTCACGTACGCGGATCCTCAGGGTAAACTTAGCTTATCCTGATGATCCTTACGATACCTTAGCGTATTGAGCACTTTGCTTAGTTATTTTTACTTTCATTCTAGACGATTATTTTCACAGGAAGTACATGTTCTTAGTTCTTTTTTTCCCTTTTTTTCCCTTGGGTATTTGTTTGTTCATTTACAAGCTAAAACACCAAAGGTTTTGCCGAACGAGTATAGCTGCTTATATTTATAAGATTATTACATTGTGCGATATATATATATATATATATATATATATATATATATATATATATTATATATATATGTGTGTGTGTGTGACGTCGTCCCCCGGTCGCAGCGCCAACTGTGACGTTCTATCCTGATCTACCACGGCGCCAGTTGTGACGTCCCCAAACAGCACCAATTGTGAGGTCCTCGCCGCGGCGCCAGCTGTTCGCTCCTCGCTGCTCCGTCCGGGTGTCGCTACTCCAAACGTGACGACCGCCTGTCGCGTCAGTCGTGTTGTCTCGTCCTGTGACGACCAGCTGGCTTGGTATCGGTCGTGGCACCCAAATGTGACGTTCTAACCTTTTGGTGATTCGGGTGGGAATCTGGTTAGATTTGATATCAGCCTCGTCGCTCCCAAGTCGCTTCCAACGCTTGGTTACCAAGGTAACTGCATTGATCTCCAGTCTGCCTACCCACGTTGTGAATTGATCTTAGACAGACGAGATCAAACAGTGGTTGGAGCCGTAATGCAAATTGAGTTTAACGGGGGTGATATCACACAAATATGCATAAAAGAAAATAAAATGAAAACTCAAAATGTTCAAAGTATCAAAGAAAAAGGTAACAAACTTTATGTCTAGTTGTTCGATACAGAGGACTGCATCTATCTCCCGACCCGTTCTGTGGATTGTGACACGTCGTTTTCGCTAGGCAAGTTTTAACGCTTCAAGTTGTTTGCTCTCTAAGAAATTTGTGTTTCGGTGTGTCTTTGAACGAAAGTCGAAAAAAAAACTTATTCCGGTGGTCTGATCCTAAGTCGCTCTTCAAAATAATTGTTCTTGGTTGAAGAGGAGTCCGGAATTTTGCGTGAATCTTGGTCAGCTATCTCGAGGCGGCTCGAACTCTGGAAACTGGAGCTCGAACTCTCTGGACACTCATTTATTTTCCTTCGGTACATGTGTCTGATAACATAATTTTATTATCGCAGGGCAAAGTTGTTTTGTTGAAAGGAATTCGGTCAGCGCTCTGCTTGTGTGGGATTTAATTTTTCATATCTGTCCAAAGTCCTTTTTAGTGGCCTGTTTCTCGTTACTTATCGAAATAGCATTTTCACTTGAATTTTTCCTGGGCCGGTGGTCCAGCTATTCGTTTACGTACCTAGATAACATAGCCATTATCAAAACACATCTGGTTCCTTCTTTCTTTTCCTCTTCTTTTTTTTTTACTCAGAAATTCCCTGTCATTCTAATGACACACTTTTTCACTTGTTACTTATCAATATTTTCATTGTCTCTTAGGCCATGTGTGTGGCTGTTTTATCACCTATGATCCGTCTCGCATTTCTTTCTGCCTTCTTTTCTTTCTCTGTCTCGTAATGGTGCTATATATATATATATATATATATATATATATATATATATATATATATATATATATATATATATATGTACTAGCAGCATGGCCCAGAATTGCCCGTGCTTGATTCAAAAAATCGTACGACTCATACAGCAATCGCTATCAATTGACTTAAAATATTTTTGCTCTTCCTTGCCTTTAAAGGAGTACCCTTTGCCGTGCTGATGTTGCTACATGCCTTACTTCTTGCTTATCTCACACTACGATTTTTTTCTAAGCTCTATACTAAACATTCAATCAGTTACGAAAAAAGAACTAAACACAATGAACACAAAACGATCAGCTTTAAAAAAAGGACTCGTAACTGGAAAAACCGAATGAAAAAAGAATGTTAACAACAAAAACTTTTTCACACCCAACCCAGTTCTGCGGACTCAGAATCAACGTTGAGCGAATGAGCCAATTGGAGTAAAGTGTCATGCAGATTTAAATTTTTCCCACTTGTGACGAATGCAGCAATCGAATTTTTTTTTTGCATGCTAGCATACTAGTTAACATTCGTATCAGTCAGCTGTTGGCTCTCACGCTGGCCAATAGAATCATCCTGCCTATTCGTGGCTCTCACTCTGGCTAGTACAAAATGGTCGCAAACTACATGAAAACTGCCATAGAAGCATGAAAAATTCGATTATTTCCACTATCGATGGGAGTTGAGAAATGCAATGTCGGTCTTGGCCTTCCCGCTAACTTGGAGCATGTGCATGTAAATTTTGGAGTAAATCCGTCGAAAATTGCGGCCGTGCATTCTTTACACACAAATAAACATCCTGTCATTTATATATATATATATATATATATATATATATATATATATATATCGCACATATAGTGCTGGTGTTACTAAAATAGTGCTCGATGTAATAAAACAGAGTTATTAAGTATTATTATTAAAATCCACCTTTAAGTGCTGAATCTAGATGCGTCGTTAGTGTTGTTACTCCCATGTCACTAGAAGTTTCGGGTCTAAATAAACAACAGACTTCTTCGATGGGCGACCCGACCGAATATGATCAGTATTCGGCCCGCGCCCAGAATAAAATTTGCTACTAACTTTAGGACGTGAATTATATAAGTTGCCCCAGTAAACAACAACCAATCAAGACTTCACTTGGGCTATTCGATGTTATAGATTAGGTATGCATGGTTGTATTGATCTTCCGACATGCGGCCAAGATAGGGTGGGGTTTCTTTATTAATAAATATACATATTTTCTCTCACCGATAACACGAATCGGAGTTTCATGAACAATACAATCTTAGATTTGAATAATGGTCATTGCAAATCATATACCAAATGTCTATATAACCCATAGATACGTTACTAAATAATCTTACAACTACCACAAAATTCTAGATAATTTACATATACCAGTCCAAGTGAGATTATCTGCCAGCTTCATCAATAAGGAAATATTTAATAATAAAATTAAATATATATATAAAGGCTTTAGAATTAAGCCACCATTAAGTAAATATAGAGTATTTAGAAAAAAAAACAAAAACAAATAAGGCAAAAATAAACTAAAAACCTAAAATTATTTGCTTTAATCCACGTTTTAATCCTAATTAATATCGGAATATTTAATCCATAAGTTTAATCTATAAGTATTTTAAATATACACTGACACTGAAAAAGATTTTTTTTAAAATAATATTAAGATTAGTTATAACATTGGCAAAGCCATATCCAATCATAACAACATTATATTAAAAATATATTTCCAGCAAAGACAGTGTAATAATTCTAAAAACAAATGCAACTGCCAAAAAAATGATTTATCCCTTAAACGGTCAATGCATAACTGATAATATTGTTTACCAAGCGGGACAACTAAAAATTACTTAAAGGCCAGTCTATAATTGGCACCTGAAGATTGCGTTGTGCCTGAAACTCCAAGTCGTGCTATCGGTGTGAAAACTTTAACTCATAAATATAATACTCCGTAAAACTATGATAAAATATAATATAAGGTGTGCTGAAAACTTTAACTCATAAATATATGAGTTAAAGTTTTCAATGTCAGGGATAGAGCATCATATGTAAATACAAAAGAGAACATTGAAGTCCTCTTTTATATGCAGGCTGTATTAAAAATTTAAAGTGTTTATATGTCCATATAAACGTATGTGCAACAGGCCGTCGTTGTACCTCAACACACCAACTCATAACAAATGTTCAAAATGTTCTCCGCTTGCTTCTAAACACGTATGAACCCGTCGGATCATTGACTGGAGGACCCTTTCAAATACCTCCACACGGTGTTGAATGGTTTCCGCAGGCCCCCGTTATGAAGCATCTCTGCATTATTTTCTGCTGAATAAACCAATTGTTTTATGTGGCCTCACATATAAAAATCCAAAGAATTGAGATCGGGCCATGGAATATACGAAGAATACTTTCGGAATTAAGCAGTAGTATAATACAGCAGAAGCCATAAAAATGAGTTCATCCTTGAACCATTCGGCCACCGAATGGTTCAAGGATTAACTCATTTTCCGAATGGTCCAATGATTAAGTCGTTCTCCGAATGGTCCAAGGCTTAACTATGTCTTCGAATGGTTCAAATTTAACTTGGTCTCCGAATAGTTAAAGTTTTAACTCGGTTCCCTTTTGGTTCAAGATTTAACTCGGTCACCGAATGGTTCAAAATTTAACTCGATCTCCGAATGGTTCAAGGCTTTACTCGTTTTCCGAATGATCCAACTGTTAACTCAGTTCTACGAAAGGTTCAAGGTCTAAATCGTTCTCCGAATGGTTCAAGGTTTAATTCGGTCCTCGAATGATCCAAGGCTTAACTCGTTCTTCTAATTTTCCAAGGTTTAACTCGATTTCCGAATGGTCCAAGGGTTAAATCGGTCTGCTAATGGTTTAAGTCCTAATTCTTTCTTCGAATGGTCTATGGCTTAACTTGGTCTCTGAAAATTTATAGGCTTAACGCGTTTTCCGAATGGTCCGAGTCTCTAACTCGGTCTCTGAATGGTTCACGGTTTAACTCATCGTATGTTTTTAGTTAATTTCTAAATCTATCGCGCAGATATTATCATGAAGTCATCACCCTGATAAATTGACTCTGGTGAGATTCGAACCCGGCTATCAGAAAGCAAACCATCTTACCACTCGTTCACGCAGCCATACATAAATCAAATCATCCTATTAAGATAATGTTCTAAGGCTATTCCTCTCGCATATTATTAGTCGTATAAATAATATTACGTATTAAGTTTATATTATTATTATTAAATCATTATCATTACTTTGTCAATTTATATTTTCTATTTACATTTTCTGTAAATTCCTCTTTGAATTGTAGAACATTTTTTTAAAAAATTTATCTATGTAATTACACATCTGCTTCTACAAAGCATATAATCGTATGTATATATCTAAGTGTTTTTGTCTCAATCCTTGTCTCAGAGAGTGGTGGGGCTGAGAAAGAAACAGAGATTGAGTGAGAAAAAAGATGAAGAAAAAAAGAGCAGTCTAATAGAGAGAGAGAGAGAGAGAGAGAGGAGGAGGAGGAGAAGAGAGAAAGATGAGAAGAAAGCGTACAGAATATGGATCAAAATACTCCGCTTTCGTAGGCGGCTTTTTCTAGATTTACGATAAAATTAAATTTATATAATTTCCCTCTTTTTTTTTCTTATATTAATTACAATTATTATTTGAGGCGAGAATTTTTTTCTCTATCTCTCCCTCTCCAATCTCTCTCTCCAATCTCTCTCTCTCTCTCTCTCTCTCTCTCTCTCTCTCTCGCCCCTTATATCTACAAATATCTGACTTTTTCTTTCAGTTTTAGAGCTTCTCAAAAATAAATCCGTGACATCTGGTTTTGTCATAAATGTTCAAAAATGACACGAACAGAGATCACGTGACCCTATACATCCCAGACAGCTTTCTTTGAATACATTTCTTCTTTTCTTTTTTTTTTTTTTGTGGTGTTGTAAGGGTTTTCTTTGTATCGCTCAACTTATCTATTTCAGTTTCTTTGCATCTATCTATCTATCTATCTATCTATCTATCTATCTATCTATGTGGATCAGGCTGCCTGTCTGTTAGTGTGTCTGTCTATCTACTTCAGTTCCTTCGTATCTATCAGTCTATCTATTACACCCTATCTATCTATCTATCTATTTATCTATCTATCTATCTATCTATAGGTCAGTCTGCCTGTCTGTTAGTGTGTCTGTCTATCTACCAGTTCCTTCGCATCTGTCTATGTATCTCACTGTATTTGCATCTATCTATCTATCTATCTATCTATCGATAGATAGATAGATAGATAGATAGAGAGATGCAAATATCTATAGATAGATAGATGCTACCTATCTATCTATCTTTCTTTCTTTCTTTCCATCTATCTATCTATCTCACTTTTTTCTCATCTATCTATCTGTCTTTCTTTGTTTCTTTCTTTGCGCGTATCTATCTATCTATAACTGTCTGTTCATATCTATCTCTCTATCGATCTATGTTTTACTTAATTAATTACAGTCTCTGCTATTCAATGTGTATATCTATTAATCAAGCAGTCTACGCCCGCATTCATTTCTCACTCTTTCTACTGTCTCGTTCTATTCATATCTATCAATCGAGGGATCGATTGATTATTGTCTATCCATATGTAACGTCCCATTTACCCCACGTGTTGTTCATTTCAATATTTGTATATCTTGCAAAGCAGTTCGAGCCCATATTAAGACCATGAATTCCGCATGCTGATTTTCAAGTCTTTTCTCACTTTAATTATTACAATATTTTCTTCCCATTTCTACAGCAGTCGATAAATTCGTCTTCATATTACATCTGCAATGTCTTTATTGCAAAAGTATCTACTCTTTTATAGTGTAGACAAGTGCTGTATGGAATAGTCATGCCGATGGGAATGTTTCAACTTTGAAAAGAAACGAGCTATTTCAAAGAAATATTTCGACGCTCAAAAAACATTTCGGTTCGGACAATAGGACCGGGAAAACTTTTGAAAAAATTTGAAAAATTGCTCATCAGCACAATGTCGATCGTTAGCATCATATTTAGTATAATTAAGTGCATTAACAAGGAAGCAGGTTATTTACACCCTTCGAGACTATTGTCCTTATCTTTATTGCCATATTCACGACATTTCGGCCGTTGTACGCACCGACCTTCTTCAAGTGATATATGCTGGAATTTTGAATAGAACCCTTTATCTAGTCTACGGGGGTAAATTGTTCTAGTTCCACGTGCAGTGCCTTTTTTTTTGTATATCTCAGTAGTAGGTAATTCCATTTAGTAACTCAATTTTTATTGAACTCAAAATTCTTTGGGTCAAGTCATTTTTTGGATTATTCAATCAACGCCTTTATCCACTGTCCTGAAGAAAGTCGGATCGCAAAATGGTCGAAACGTCGCTAATATTGTAATAAAGATGAAGACAACAATCCAAAAGATGTAAATAATATAAATAGTCACAACAACTGCTACGTGACATCTGTCCTCCTATACGGCAGCGAATATTTGACGGTTTCCTCAAAGATGAAGAAGAGACTCAAGGCAGCGGAGATGTGATTCTACAGAAGGATGCTAAGGATATAATGGACCGAGCGTGTGAGCAGGTTTTGGATAGGATGCAAACAAGGAGGAAGCTTATACTTAACATAAGGAAGAGGCAGATGAAATATCTGCGACAACTAATGAGAAAGAAGGACCTCGAGAATCTGATACTCACTGGTCGAATAGAGAGGAAAAAAAGACAAGGGAAAGCAACGTATGACATACCTGGCAGGCTTAAGCAATGGATGACAGAACGTGGTTTGGGAGAGTTGGCAGACGTATGAAACATATTAACAGCTACAAGGGAGAGCAGGGAAGTGAAGAGCCATGATCGCCTACGTTCTAAAAGGACACAGAACATAAAAAGAAAAAAGAAGTTAGGACACTTCATCTCAGAAATGTAGATAGATTCTGAAGAAGGTTGGATCGCGCAACGGCCGAAACGTCATGAATATAGTAATAAAGATGAGAAAAACAATCCGGGCGGTGTAAATAGTGAAAATAGTTACAATACCTCATCTCAGAAATATAGACAGATCCTGAAGAAGTCAGAAGCGTACAATGGCCGAAATGCCGTGAATATAGTAATAAAGATGAAACCAGCAGTCTGGATGATGTAAATACTGTAAATAGTTAGAACACATCACCTCAGAAATTTAAATAGATCCTGAAGATAGTCGTGTCGTACTACGGCCGAAACGTCGTGAATATAATAATAAAGATGAGGACAAAACTCCGAATGATGTAAATAGTGTAAATAGTTACAACACTTCATCTCAAAAATAGAGACAGATCCTGAAGAAGGTTGGATCGTACTCTTGCCGAAACGTCGTGAATATAGTAATAAGGATGAATACAAAACTCCGAACGATGTAAATCGTGTAAATAGTTCCAACACTTCATCTCAAAAATATAGACAGATATTGAAGCGGATTAGGTTAGACAAATACGAGGATTGTTTATAAAGGGTTCTATTCAAAATTCCATCATATATCACTTGAGGAAGGTCGGAGCGTACAACGACCGAAATGTCGTGAATATGGCAATAAAGATGAGGACAATAGTCTCGAAGGGTATAAATAATCTGCTTCCTTGTTAATGCACTTAATTCCATACTAAATATGATGCTAAATATCGACATTGTGCTGAATTGCAATTTTGCAAATTTATTGTTTTTCAAAAGTCTTCCCGGTTCTATTGTCCTAAACGAAATGTTTATTGAGCTTCGATAAAAAAATTCCTGTCGAAATATTTCTTTAAAGATCTCGAAATTGTCTTTATTCTTTGACTTCTGTATCCCCAATTTATAATTTGCATGTTCGGTTGTCCCTTTTACTAACAACCTTCCCAGAATATCATTACTGTTGTATATGCCACCTGAATAGTGTGGATTTTTATGTTTATAAACTAAGCGTATCGGTTCAAATAAACTTTTCGCTGCGAATTTTTATATAAGTTTAATAACTGTGCCTGTTCAGGACTTAGTACCGGTAAATATTTTGGAAAAATAATAAACGTTTTGTACTAGTTTAGCACTGTACTAATAAGGAAAATTAAAGCAAAAAATTTAATTAATTTGGCACGTGTAGTTGGTACGTAGGTGCAGAACGACTGATCACCGCCACCTCAACGCCGCCGACTCAACGACATGCAAACTATGAAAATTTTTCGCCGCCTTTTTAAAACCGAATAAAATTAATTTATTAAGGATCGTTTTTAAAACGCAACTTTTTAAAACCGAATACAAGCAATTTATTAAGGATCGTTTTAAAACGTAACTTTTTAAAACCGAATAAAATTAATTTATTAAGGATCGTTTTAAAACTGAATACATGTAATTTATTAGGGATCATTTTTAAAACGTAACTTTTTAAAACCGAATAAAATTAATTTATTAAGGATCGTTTTTAAAACGTAACTTTTTCAAAACGAATACAAGCAATTTATTAAGGATTGTTTTTAAACGTAACTTTTTAAAACCGAATAAAATTACTTTATTAAAGATCTTTTTTAAAACATAACTTTTTAAAACCGAATAAATGGAATTTATTAAAGATCATTTTTAAAACAACTTTTTAAAACCGAATAAAAGTAATTTATTAAGGTTCATTTTTAAATATAAATTTTTCAACCGAAATAAATGAAATTTATTAAGGGTCATTTTTTAATACATGACTGTATTTTTAGTTTCAAAATTTATTGAAAAATGTATGCAATTTCCCTTAATTATTCAGTTTAAAATTGATGGGAAAAAGAACAATCTGAAAAACTTCCAAACTTTCACAATCTCTTCGATTCAAATCTGATTTAAGAGACGTGCACACTATGACAGCCAACACCGGTTGGCCGGTGTTAAGTCGGCGGTGATGAAATGTCCCCTACTGCTCAAAAGTACCCCAGGCTGTCTGCATCAATATTTCTAACTGCTTGTCGGTCTTTTTCTAACGATGCACTAAAGAATTTTCCTTCTATCAAACTATTTACATTTCACTATCATAGTCTTACTCTATTTGATTATTTTAAAAAAATAATTATTTGTTTTATTGTTGTTGTTATTGCTGCAGCTGGATTCGCTGTTATTTCATCATGGCATCATTTTTAATTCCACTTTCATTCGAATCAAATAAAATAGATCCATGTTGTTTTTTTTATTTTATTTTATTTTTATTTATTTATTTTTTTGGCATTATATACAGTCGCATCAAAGAAGCAGCCGTCCAGAAAACACCGCTTTTACTCTCAGAACAACAAAAAAATGAAATTGCAACGGTAATCGGTAAAATCTACAAATAGAATTTTTTAAAAATCAAACGTTCGGACTTTACTGAGAGGTAAACAGAGAAACTAAGCAGAGGTGTGCCTCTTTCATTAATGGAAATGGAATCCTCTAGTATTTATTCTTTTCATCTTTATTTCTGGATTGGCTACTTTTACAGGCTGGGGTTATTTTTAACTTTTACTTCTTTTTTTTAAGTTAATCTTTTTATTTCGTAATTTTGAGAAAGTTAACTTAAAGCCCATGATCCAATCTTTAAAAGCAAAGTTTCTAAAATATACAAACACATTACTGAAATCACACGCGCATAAATATAAAACATCACATATAAAATGTTATATATTTGCAAATATACACACACTCATACATATATGAATTTAGATATCAAATATCCATACATGTACAATATATATATATATATATATATATATATATATATATATATATATATATATATATATATGTGTGTGTGTGTGTGTGTGTGTGTGTGTGTGTGTGTGTGTTTCATTATTATAGAAATTGTATAGTATATAATTGTAGTTATGTCTGTACGTGCATGAATATATATATATATATATATATATATATATATATATATATATATATATATACTTCTATGTGTTCATACACATTTTCGTGATCTACCCTTAAAGGAGTCAAAGGTAAATATACTTATCTATCAAAAATATATATAACCGCCAAGAAATAGATTTAAGCCGATATGTTTATGCAAAGTAATTGCATATTGCTATGAAGTGTCTCTTTGTAGAAGGAACTTAATATTATTAATAAAAATTACTTCTCTCTCTCTCTCTCTCACGAAAATAAAACGGTTCATACATAAGTATGTGTAGATAGATAGATAGATAGATAGATAGATAGATAGATAGATAGATAGATAGATAAATAAAAAAAAATTGAAAGATCGAAATCAAAATAAAAAAAAAGATAGATAGAGACTAAATGAAAAGATAGATAGATAGAGACAAAATAAAAAGATAGAGACAAAATAAAAAGATAGATAGATAGATAGATAGATAGATAGATAGATAGATAGATAGATAGATAGAGACAAAATAAAAAGATAGATAAAAACAAAATAAAAAGATAGATAGAGACTAAATGAAAAGATAGATAGATAGAGACAAAATAAAAAGATAGAGACAAAATAAAAAGATAG